CATACAGAATGCAGTATGAGTGTGCGGAACAAGTTGAAAGGGAGAAAGAGAGACAAATGAAAGTGTTGGTAGAGACATTAGGTTAGATGACCCTGGCACAGATGTTTTACATCAACGCCTGCAACAAGTAACAGGGGTTGCAGAGCGGGCTGCGATGCATGTGGCAAAATCCGATGCCAAAAAAAAGCAGACTCCGTGCCCATGAAAGATAAGAGTGTTTGTAGCTACTGCAACCACTGCAAACTGGGACCCAGGAGGGGGATGGACAATCAGTGCAGCCATGTTCTTGGGTTTTAATGTTTTTACTGAGACTTTCTTTAAAGTACAAGGGAAAAATTAATATAAATGAACTTAACTCTTCTACATGGCAACTTTACAGCACGGTCAAAAACTAATGTGCTCTCTAGCTCCATTATAGGTCGGCCATATATTGAGTTTGCCTCCAGTGGTGACGTGCATAAATATCATCCTTTGAGAAGACACCAGGGGGAATATTTGGCTGTGTTTTCATCAATAGTAGGTGATTTGGGGTCAAAGCCTCCAAATCACTAGAATCATCTGAGACAGTTGTTATGGGTCTGCTGTTGATGATGCTTTCCACTTCACACAAGAGTGTCTGTAGTCCTTCCTCATCCAACATTTGTTGCTTCAGGAGGGAACTTAGGACCTTTCTCACTGTCTGTATCTGGTGCTCCCAGACACCTCCATGATGGGATGCGGTAGGCGTGTTAAATTTCCATCTAATTCCTCTTTGCAACATAGGATCTTGAATCTTGGGTAGGTTCAGGGCCTTTAACTGGTTGTTCTGGACATTCAGATTTTAGTCTTAACAGGAATCCTGGGCCCCATATCCAATTTTTACTTTGTAGCAAACCTTCAGCGTTTAACCCCCTTGATGCCTGATCTGCAGGGTTGTTTGCTGTGTTCACATACAGTCAGGACCATAAATATTTGGACAGAGACAAAGTTTTTAAAAAAAATTTAAAGTTCTGTACATTACAACAATAAATTTTAAAAGAAACAAGTCAGATGCAGTTGAAGTGCAGAGTTTCAGCTTTAATTCAGTGGGTAGGACAAAAACATTGCATGAAAATGTGGGGAACTAAAGTAATTTTTCTACACAGTCCCCTCCTTCCAGGGGCTCATTAGTAATTGGACAAATTAATATAACTGCAAATAAAATGTAAATTTCTAATACTTAGTTGAAAACCCTTTGCAGACAATGACTGCCTGAAGTCTTGAACTCATGGACATGACCATCTGTATTATGAAACACCACCCAATCAATTTGGCTGGATTTGAGCAGACATGATGTCTCTGAACACCTCAGCATTCATTCGGCTGCTTCCATCCTGTGTCACATCATCAAGAAACACTAAAGACCCAGTGCCACTGGCAGCCACTGGCAGCCACTGGCAGCCACTGGCAGCCATGCACGCCCAAGCCATCACACTGCCTCCAGCTTGCCTTACAGATGATGTGATGTTCTTTGGAAGAAAAGCTTTTCCAGCCCTTCTCCATACTTTTTTCTTTCCATCATTCTGATACAGGTTGATCTTGGTTTCATCTGTCCAATGAATGCTATTCCAGAACTGTGCTGGCTTTTTTAGATGTTTTTTTTTTGCAAAGTCCAATCTAGCCTTTCCATTCTTAAGGCTTATGAGTGGCTTGCATCTTGCAGTGAACCCTCTGTATTTGCTTTCATGCAGTCTTCTCTTTATGGTAGACTTGGATATTGATACGTCTGCCTACTGGAGAGTGTTGTTCACTTGGTTGGCTGTTACAAAGGGGTTTCTCTTCACCATGGAAATGATTCTGCGATCATCCACCACTGTTGTCATCCGTGGATGTCCAGGCCTTTTTGCGTTGCTGAGTTCACCAATGCTTTCTTTCTTTCTTTCTCAGGATGTACCAAACTGTGGATTTTGCCACTCCCAATATTGTGGCAATTTCTTGATTTGTTTTTTTTTTCTGTTTTCGCAGCCTAAGGATGGCCTGTTTCACCTGCATACCGAGTTCCTTTGACCGCATGTTGTATGTTCACACCTCAATCTTCCAAATGCAAACAAGACACCTCAAATCTACTCCAAACCTTTTATCTGCTTAATTGATAATGAAAGAACGAAGAAATTGCCCACACCTGTCCATGAAATAGCTTTTAAGTGAATTGTCCAATTACTTTTGGCCCCTTTAAAAAGAGGGTGGCCTCTGTTAACGAGCTGAAACTACAAAACCCTTCATCCAGTTTGAATGTGGAAACCCTGAAATGAAATCTGAGAGTCTGCACTTTATGTCCATGCCCACTGTATAACTTCAATTGGAATATATTTAAGTAAACAGGTAAAATAGTAAAACTTGTGTCAGTGTCCAAATATTTATGGTCTTGACTGTATTTCCACTAAGATGACTCTGTGGCTTCTTGGATGAGTGAAGCTTTGTTTCCCACGAACATTTTATATCGAGCTGCATCATTCTCAATATATTTAAGAACTGTGATGCAAAACTGATGCATCCAGGCGCAGCTGCAACTCTTGTTGAAGCAACTTGTCCATTTTCACAGCTATCACAGCTGCCGTCAGCTCCATACTGGGAATAGTGACCTGCTTGAGTGGTGCCACTCTTGACTTACCCATCAGGAATAAACTGACCTCTGCATCAAGGTGTGAAATGTGGACTCCATGCAAGCATGGCTATTGGTCTACATCCTTCTGCAGTGGTATATTTTGCTTTTTCACTGGTATGCTTGGCTGAGTGAACACCGTGACAGGTCTATAAAATTCCTCTCTTACAAACCACATACTTCCAGATCTGAGAGAACATGAGTGGTGACCTTCCTCTGCTCCCATGGTAGTGATCAGGAATTCTGACATCCTTCCTCGTAGATTGAGCTGCCGCATAATATCATCTGTGCAGAAGATTGCAGTGCTTCCTTGATCTAGAAATCCATATACCTCTATTATTTTGTCATTTCTTTTGGACTTTACTTTCACTGGTACAATGGAGAGGATAGTTTCACCACTGCCTGCCCCAGTGTCTCTGCCAGTTTCATATTCTGTCCCCACAAAGGCACTAGTGACCTCACCTGTAATTTCTGTTTTCCCCTTTTCATCATTTTCTGTCAAGACTGAAACTTCCTTTTACATGCAAAGCGCTTGGATGTCTTGCTGAGCACCCACCACCTTGCATTCTCTTGCGACAGTCTTTACTCAGATGACCTTGTGTGAGGCAGCCGAAGCTGAGTCCTTTGTTTATTAAAAATCTAATTCTTTCTTTGGGAGTCTGGTCTTTTATCTTCTCACAATGTTCCAAGGCATGGCTCTTCTGACAATAAATGCATGGACTTTGAAAAGCATCAGGTCTGACTGAGGTCTTCTCTCTTAGTTGTTGACCCTCTCTGTGTCATCCTGCCAGAGAAATACTTGTAGCAAAGCTGCTACTCTTGGGATTAGTTCCTCTGTAGTTTGGCTTTGGCTTCCCTTTCCCTTCTAGACTTGTCTCCAAACAGTGGGGCATTGCATACCTTTGCTTGCCAGTTGATGGAATCCACCAGGTCCAAAAACCTGGCTCTCCTTCCCGTTCTTATTTGGATTTCATATGCTTGATTTCTCCACCTCTCTTTCAGCTTAAAGGGAAGTTTTGAGATGACAGCCTTCATATTGCTAGGATTGTCCATCTCATCCATGAACTCTATATCTTTCATAGTGTTCCAACATCCCAACAGGAAAATCGTATGCATTTAATGCCTTTCTGTCCTCTGCTTTGATCCGTGGCCATTCGAGGGCTTTATTCATATAGGCTGTTGCAATTTGCAGCTCATCTCTGTAGTGTTGCTGTAGGAGCCTCTTAACTTCTCTCTAATCTTCATCTGGTCTCATGTGCTCGCAGCTACGTACAAGGTTACGTGGTTCTCCTCCTGTGAATTGCTGCAGATAAAACAACCTGTCTTGTGGGCTAGTAGTCTTGGTCTCAATAGCCTGCTCAAATGCCCTCATGAATGAACGATAGCTGAGGGGGATCTCCTAGGAATATTGGAACATCTCTCTGAAGGAGTAGTGACACGCTATGCTGGTTGACAAGCATCTGTGTTATCTCATTTTGGCACTGCACTATTTTACATATGCCATCAGATGTAACCAGGTGCTGTGACTGATCTGAAATTACTGCCTTACGAGGTAAAGTTTTGCAATGGACAGTAGCAGGCTGAGCTCTTAACTGTATACCTATAGGAGCAGAAATGTTCACTTGTTGTGTCTCATCCTCATCCTTGATATTACGAGTGTCTTCTGAACCTACTCTGGACCTGCCTTTTGTCTCATCATATTAATTCATGCCATCTTGCCCATCATCATAACCTGTGTAAACCTTTATCTGGGCTTCTGATGCAGCAATCTGTGTCTCAAGCTCCAACTGCTCTTTGTGTGCCTTTAAGCGGGCCTCTTCCATCTCGATTTCTTGTTTCTTCTTTAGGAAGACAGCACGTGCTAACAATTCTTCACGCTTTGCCTCTAGCCTCAAGCAAGCAGAACTTGCGTTAGACACTTGTGATGAATCGCTAACCACTGAGCTAGTCTGGCTTGTTTTAGTTGCGCAACTGATCACTTCTGAAATGCTATCACCTGGCTGCACATCATCATCATCATCTTCATTAGCATTTGTCATCACTCTTTCAATCCAATCCTCTATTTCTTGGACAAAGGCCTCCAATTCTGCACATTTGGGAATATACCAGTTACCAGTTTTTCAAGATGAGGCAATATTTCAGCACTGAGTGTTTTAAATTCTCCAAAGATCTTCCCAAAGATAAATAATACCTCATCTTTAATTAGCTGGGAATTCCTTTTATTTTGCATAAGAATTTCAGTTTCACTTCTTTTACGAGTAATCTGGGCAAGCGTTCTCTTCCTTTCATTTCTGAGCTTATTCAATTTACCTTCCACTGCCTTTACTAGTGGTCTTTGGCGTCCTCTTGTGGCTATCAGCTGAAACGACCATGGCTATAACGGCGCTCTAATTAGGTGTAACTGCACACAAACCGCCCTCTTTTCGTGAAAATGACAGCTTCTCGCTCTTCTATACATTTCCACAAAAGAGTTTTACCGTATGCACTCTCAGGAGGCTGCTGCATCTCAATCTCTTCGCTGTTCATGCTTAATTGAACGACATTGAAAACTGAATTCTTCATGAAAAGTCTACTTACTTTTTTCCTTTGCGCAGCAATGAAAGTCTGCTGGGCTGCAGGATCTCCACAGTCCTCTTCTCTTCAAAAACGGTAATCCATGCCTTTTATTCTTAACGAGTTAGTTTTTGACTAATGTTACCGTGGGTCCGTCTAATCCTTCAGAAAAGCTCCCACTTTGCTATGGAGTAAAAGCATATGGTTGACGCGCACTTCGGTAAAAACTCTGTGCAGCCATGTCCTTGGGTTTTAATGTTTATTACTGAGGGAAAATTAATAGAAATCAATATAAATTAACTTAACTCTTCTACATGGCATACCCCCTTTGAAAAACAACTTTTGGCGTGTAATTGGGCATTATTAGAAACGGAACAGCTGACAATAGGACATGATGTCCTACTGAGACCTAGGATTCCTATTATGACGTGAGTGAACGGTAACCCTAAAACCCACCCGATTGGTGGACCGCAAGAGACAAATGTTTTAAAATGGAAATTGTATAAATGGCATATCTGACAGGGCTGAGCAAGTGGCGGATGTTCCAGAGAAAGGTGAGGAAGTGGTGATGGTAACGGCGTTGGAGGAGTCCCATTTATCGTGGGGGGTCCCATATGACCAATTAAGTGAAGAACAGAAACATCATGTTTTTTTACGGATGGAGCAGCTAAGTATGTTAATGGTAAGCGAAAGTGGAAAGCTGCGGCATACAATCAATGTGCGCAGCAAATGATTGAAATTACAGGAGAAGGTAAAAGCAATGGGCTGAATTACGAGCGGTAGTAATGGTTTTGGAGCAGGAGTGATTGATTCGGCGCCTAAGGATGGCGACATGTCCCAGCTAATAAATGTTATTTACGAGAAAACTAATCGGCATGCGAGTTCTTTTCTTATGTGTGTAGGATGGCGTGATGGTTTTGGTGGTGGGCGTGGCCGACGCTGCTGGCGATGTTCGGCTATGCTGCAGTCCCAGGGACCGAGTTGGAACACGTACGTTTACCTTCAAGCTTACGTGGAAAAACAGCACCAAGACCTGGCAGCAGGACAACTTCACCTGTCCAGCCAACCAACCCTGCTTCATCATTGAATTAACCCCTGTGAACGGGAGCGAGATGTATGTCTGTATGGGATGCCACAACGGGAAAGAACATTCCCATCCTCGCGTCTGCTGGAGTGCCCCCTCAAGTGGGTGTGGGAACTCGATGGATGAATTGGAACGAATGTACTATGGCTATGTTACATGCCAAAATATAACGAAATAATGTTTAACAAATGTTAATGTCATTCAATCCTGGTGCATGGAAACGATTTTGGAATATTGATCCCAGTATGTGGCTGCATTTAAAGCCTGAAATAACTCAATGTAATGATACTTTGCGTACTGGACAATGGAAAATGTATTATGTAACTACCCCCCAAACTTTGCGTAGGTTCACGTGCTGCCCATAATAGCTGGAGGGGCATATTGAACTTTACAAGTAAAGGGGGAATGGCTAGACATCTACACTATCAAAACGTATGATATACTAGATTGGAATGAAACTGATAAAGGATATGTATGTTTTCTATGATTATTTGTCCCCAAGAGATATGTTATTCGAGGTCGGCCCTCACATCCTTTGTGTGAGTACCGTCCATACACATGAACAGCTACCATATGTGCCGTATTCCGGATGTTTAAATTATACGTATGCAGTGATCCCCGCTATATCGTCACGCCCCCGCGATATCGCGGATTTTCCCCGTACACAGCACAGTTCGCGTTTCGTGTACCTTGAGTGTGGTCCGAAGATACCCTTCCTAAACCACCTGAAGGCGAGCCTTCAGAAGAGCTGTAAATGCTCTGCTTTGGTGTGCAGTACGTACTCATCACCTACATACGTACTTCATCATGTACTGCACAGCTAATTCATCATCATCATCATTCAAGTTATGGAGTGTATGTTCACTGGTGAGTAGCCATACTGAGCTTAAAATGTTTTTATTTTTACATAATCCATTACACTGTAAAAAATCCAACTCGCCTATACTGTCTACTGAACTATATTTGCCATGTTATGTGAACAAAACGACAACCGTTTTGAATTTTACAAGTTAAAAAATACTTAATTATACCCTTCTCACCGGAAATCTGCTGTAACGTGGCTTGGCCTGTTCGCTCAATTTACTATTTTTATTTACTCCAATTATGCACAGTGTGCACATGTTCACTTAGATCGTTGGATCAGCCATATTGGATTTTACACTTGGGAGCGGGAGGGAGGGAACCCCAGGAGGACCACCGCAGGGACAATTGCATCCTCCTCCCAGAAAATGGCAGAGGAGCGCTCCGGAGGGGGGCCATCCGGCAGCCACATCGCAGGAGCCCCAGGGGGCCATGGCAGCGAGCACGCAGGCTCCGTCAGCGGCCGGCCACACCAGGGCAGACCGGACCCCGAGCCCAGAGGTCCAAAGGCCCCCCCACCCCCCAGCCGGGGCCCGACAGAGCCGGGAGGACCAGGCCCCGACAGACAACCGCCGAGAGTGAGCCAGCACACACCAGAGCATCCAGCCCCGGACATCGAGAACCACCAACGCATCGGCAGCAGGGGGCCTCATCCACCGGCAGGGAGTGTGGCGGGGGGGAATAGAGCCTGAGATGTTATTTCAGGTGGAGTCTAAGACCCAACCTGACACATGCGTATAGACAAACAGGCGTACACATACACAAGCATACGTTCCCACCCTCATGCACACATAAACAAATATTCACCCATTCGCCCAACATGAAGACACACAGAAATGAACGCCGTACACAAACTCACACTCCCCATATATACTCTATACTCCGAGATCCAGGCACCACCACCCCCAGAGGGGCAATCCGCCACCAGACCCCGGAGATGGATCCCTTTTTTTCCTCTGGCATGGGGACCAGAAGACCACCCTGGACCCGCAGCAGCCGAGATGCCCACCTGCCCAGACCCCGACCGGACGGTCAGCTCTTCTCAACCCCCGGCTCCAGATGGCGAACAGAGAACGGGGGTGTGAACAGACCAACACTTTTAACTGACTCCGCCGCTCTGTACCACTCCGTCAACTTTCGTTTATTGCTGATGCCACTACTTAAAGCACCAAATAATATCACTTTTCTCGATTTCTGTTAACATTAACTCCACTTTGCACTCGCTGAAATACTTTTTTCCCCACATGGTTTATCCATTGTTGTTTAAGATAAACACAGAACAAAGCGGGTATTCATACAGATTTACATATGCAAATATACATAATTATGGGCAGGTCGGGGGGTGGCTGTGGGCTCGTTCACGTGCGTGAAATTTCGCGCTATTTGGGATTCATGAAGGGAATGTGCGTAGATCTGGGCTTACGCAGTTCTGTGATCTGGATTTTTTTCTTGCGTAGGCACATAAGAACATAAGAA